CCTACTATTGTGAGAATGGTACAGGGCTTGTCAAAATTACATCCATTTCATCTAAGGACACAGAATTGGGACCAACTGGATTCCAGCACCTAACAACAGCAGCATTTAAACAAGCACATTTAGTCTAAAAGATAATATACAGGTGTGCATTGTTTAACATCTACACTATGTTCTGGGAAATAGAACGTTATGTGATTTGGACACAGTGCACACACCATATTAAAACGTTATGGGAGCCCACTTCTGATTGTCTTCATCACTGCTGCTGCTACTTCTGGAGCTGCTGGTGGAGGCTGGAGGAATGGACAGTGGCGGCGGTGGCAACTGAGAGGGTGGGGGTGGAGCAGAGCTGGAAGAAGTGATGTGGGGGAAATAGTGCATGCCCAGCCCTACCTGCTATTCTGCCTTCCTGAGCAGCAGGAGCAGCCCGGGCCCTGCAGCGCCCACTGCCTCCCGAGAGCTCAAGAGTTTGCATCCAGAGCCATGTCCTCTGCCTCACTTGCCCGTATCTCACCCTTGGTCCAGTGCTGCAGGAGTCTGGGATCTTTAAAAGTATTAGGGGAAAATAGCAAGCAAAAGGAGAGCTGCTTTCCCTTAAAGAGAAACCTGATGACAGATATGCAGTTGGATGTCACCCAAATGGACATTAAGTGAAGCATACCTCTGTGTGTGTGTGTGTGTGTGTGTATTTTTCTGTTATTCTTTCAAATATCTGGATCTGAAAACCTCTCTTCTCTGTCCCTTTCATACATCCACAGTGGTCTGAAACATTTCTGCCTTATTTTTTATTTTACTCTTTTCCTTTAAAAATGATTTTAGCACACAGGTATTCCTACAGAACAATTTACCAGCTTTTGTATGTATGCATACACTACAAAATGATTAATTGAGCATTGTGCGTTTTTATCAAAGGAAACAGCACAAAGATTTCTCCAAAGTCCTGTTTGACTAAAGATGATTAATTTTAATTTTCACATGAGCGGCATAATGCTATTAATCATTTAATATGTTTAATCATAATCTCTGTAATTCCTAATTAGGTTTATTAAACTGAAACATCCAGCAGCTTTGCACAAACCCAAATGTAAGTCTCCTTCTCAGGATGAGAAAGAGCTCACTTAATCTGCATTTAAAAAGCAACTTCTAACAGGTGGGAGAAAATGTACTGGCAGCTTGGGGGTCTAGTTCCAACCCTTAGTTGCTGCTTCTGGAAAATTAGAGCCTTGTGCTCAAGTACCAGAGGAGCCCTTGTGGTGCAGTGGTCAAGTGCTTGTCTGCTAAGCAAGAGGTTGGAAGTTCAAATCCACCATCTGCTCCACAGGAGAAGGATGCAGTGGTCTACTCCTGTGAAGATTACAGACTTAGAAAGCATATGAGGCAGTTCCACTCTGTTCTCTAGGGTTGCAATGAGTCAGAATTGACTCAACAGCAGTGGTTTGGGGTTCCTGGAATACCCAGATCCCTTACCCCTCTGACAAATGATGGTCTCACGATTCGAAGTCATTGCTGTCCCAAGGATGTGTAATCTCATTGTGTTGTTGTTTGTTGCCTTTGGGTTGGTTCTGACTCATGGCAACCTTGTGTGTAACAGGATGAAGTCTTGCCCGGTCCTGCATCATCTCCACAGTCATTTGATGCTTGAATATATTGTCATGGCTGTTGGGTGGTACTTTCCAGCCTAGGGATCTCATCTTCCAGCATCCTATTGTGACTCATAGGGCTTTGCTTTACTAATTTTCAGAATTTTATTGCTAGACCTTTCTTCCTAAACTGTTGTAGTTGGAAGCTTCACTGAAACCTATCTACTATGGATGACCTGGCTGGAGTTTGAAATACAGGTGGCATAGCTTCCAGAATCATAGCAAAACCACCCCACAGTACAACAAACTGACAGGCGGTAGGTGATGGTTTCACTCCCAGGAAAGCCCAGTTCCTCCTCTGTTGGGGCTCGCTGTTCATATATTGAACTTCAGCTACCACTTGGAAGTGGGGAAGTTGATTGCTTTCTTATTCATTCATTTGTTGGTTTGATTACACGTGCTCCATCATTCATACATCCCACAAACCCATCAGTCATTAAGCAGACACTTGTCATTTGCCTACTGTGCCCAGCCACTGTGTCATATCAGTCATGTCACATCCCTGCTCTGGCCTCCTGTGGCTCATGGCTGTTAGGATGAAGTTCAGATCTTCTTCTGCATGCAAGTCTTAGGGTTCCGTCCCCTGCTTGACCGCTGAAATCTTCTCCCCTTTTTTCCAACATACTCTTCCCATGAGTGACATCAGAACCCACACATACTCCTCTGGATCCAGAACATTCTTTCACATCTCTGTATCTTGTTCCTGCTTGGCCTTCTGCTAACACAGTTTCTGTGTCCCTCACCTCTTTCCTTAGGGACCTCCTACTTCACCTTTCTCCTCCAGCATGGCATGTCTTCCTGACCCTGTAGCTGGGCCACGTGTCCTGACTCAGATGGACTCAGTCCTTTGTGATTTACTCTCAGCTAGCACTTAACAATCTCTCTATTACTATTATTGTTGTTATGTCCATGCAGTTGATTTTGAGTCATAGGAATCCTATAGTGACCCTATAGGACAGAGTAGAATTGGTCCATAGAGATTCCAAAGCTTATGGAAGGAGATTACCACATCTTTCTCCCATGGAGTGGCTGGTGGGTTCAAACTGCTGACCTTTTGGTTAGCAGTGAGTGATCAACTACTACATCACCAGGGCTCCGTACTATCTATATTGTCTTTTCCTCCCTCTCTCTCTTCCAATAAACTGAGAACTGGATGTGACTTGGAGGACCAAATCATGTGTCTAGATATAGTAGCTGCTCAGCAAAGATGCATTCCATCCAAAAATGAGAGCCTTTCCCTTATGTTTCCGTAGAGAGGATTTTTACTTGACTTTTTTTTAATCACCATCAGTCCTCAAAATCTATTATCTTGTATTTATTGAATATATGTTGTTGTTTTCTGTGTACCTTTGAGTGGATTCCAACTCACTGTGATAGAGTAGAACTGCCCCATCGGGTTTTCTAGGCTGTAATCTTTATGGGAACAGGTCTCCGGGTCTTTGTCTCACCGAGCTGCAGTGGGGTTCAAATCACCAACCTTTTGGTCAGTACCCAAGTGTTTAATCGTTGCACCACCAGGAGTTCTTCATTGAATATATACCATATGCCAAGAATTCTGCCAACTTGGCACACATAATTATATTTCACATTCACAAAGCCTTATAAAGTATATTCTAGTATGAGTCCCTATTTTTCAGATAAGAAAACCGTCAACATCCTCCTCCAATTAAATCCAACAGCATAGAAAAGTAATGTGCCAGTCATTGGCAGGTCTTAACTGCAAAATACAATTCAGGGTGTGCTGGGAGAGGAGAGGTGGATGAAAATGCATTCTGCCAATAAGTACAAGCGTTGATGAGAAATTCACTAATTACACCCATGTTATTTGGGTGTTTCTTTTATATTTCAATTTGTAAGATTGTCTCCTCTATGGCTTTATTATTTTCCACCTGACTGCTTGCATTGATAGTTTCATTCCAGTCATAGGCTTATAAATTGCTTATAAATAGGTGGGGGAAGATTTCACGCTCATAAATTTGAGTGTCAGCGGAGGTTTTCTATCCGGGTTTCAGATAAGCAGGGATTTCATGCAAATGATGTCTTCTGCCACCTAGAGGCAGAACATGCTAATTGCAGGGAAAGTGTCTAGAAAATGAGGTCTGGATGGTGTGTAAAAACTGCTGAAGTGAGAGAATGACCATGGCTATAATGATAGAAAATTCTCCTAGGCTTTGCCTAAACATGAGACCCTATGGTTAATATGTTCTCCAGACTATATTTATTTATTTTGAATTTTGGAGAGAGGGAGACCATGTGACATCATCTACAACCAGGTCCAATAGCACTTTCTGCAATGAAGAAAAGGTTCTGTATCTGCACTGTCCAGTATGGAAGCTACCAGCCACATATGGCTATTGAGTACTTGAAATATGGCTGATGCAAATGAGGAATTGAAAGTGTTTTATTTTATTTTAACTAATATGAATAGCCCTTTGTAATCAGTTATATCAGACCACATAGGGGCACGCAATCCATAAACTAAAAGTTGAAAACAACAATAAAATACAATCAGCTGACACTTGGACTGCAGAAATGCCAAGTAAATTTTTTGATTGTTTTTTCATTGCATTTACAGATTTTATCTACACAGCCTCAGCAATTATGTGCACAGTCCTAAGATTCTAGGGGCATTGATTAATGGATATTCACTCTCTTGCTTTAATAATTAATGTCCCCTTCTTAATGACGTTTCCTTTTATTGCATTTTCAAACTTTCCATCTTTGCTTTAATTTTCCTCTGTAGTGTTCTGTCTTCCAAACTCTGTATTTATTTGTTTGTTTGTTGATTATCTGTCTTCCTCCATGAGAATGCACGTTCCATGAGGGTAGGAATTTATGTCTACTTGACTTGTTACTCCCAAGGAAGCGTTGCTATGAGTTGGATCTGACTCGACAGCAGTGAGTTTGGGTTAGGTTTGGTTTTAACTCACCACCAAATCCCGACACTGTGATGGGCACACAGTGGATGTTCAGTGAATATTTGTTGAAGTAATAAGTGAATGAAAGAATGGCTGAGCAGTTACTTTGTTGTTCATGTGGGTGCTCTCAAGTCAATTCCAACTTACAGTGACCCCATGTGAGGGGGTAGAACTGCCCCCATAGGATTTCCTAGGCTGTAATCTTTATGGGAACAGATTGCCAGGTCCTTTCTCTCAGAGTAGTTGGTGGGTTCGAACCATTGACCTATCAGTTAGCAGCCAACCATTTAACTGTTGTGCCACCAGGGTTCCATCAGCTGTTCCTATCCTTTCTTTATTCCTTTGTTCTGGCATGTTCCTACCAGGCAGAGGGAGCCAAAGCCCATTGGGACAGAGCCTTTGGGACTACTCAGAGCTCTATGCTTTGCTCTTGTTCTTTTAGCAGACAGATGATGCAGTACCAACGGATGGCCAGCCCCAGACACAACCTTCTGAAAGCGCCGAAAACAAGTCCCAGCCCAAGAGGCTGCATGTCTCAAATATCCCCTTCAGGTTCCGGGATCCAGACCTTCGACAAATGTTTGGCGTAAGTACCACCTACCTTCTTTGCAGTCCCCAGGGTCCTCCCTTTGACCTATAAGTTCTTCCTATTAATGAAACTAAGGTGAGATGTTTACACTGGAAGAAAAAACATGTTAGACTCTGGCTTATGGGTGTATTGTGGCTAGAACCTCTTTATGGGTCTAATATAAATTTCTGTGCCTATCCTCACCATGTTACCACTTTGCTGTGTGGTTCTTTTCTTAATAAGTAACATGGAAATCAAATGGAAAATGAACTTTCGGATTGCCCACTGATTATCCCAAATCCAGTGGTCTGGGACCTCATGTCATGACTGAAATATGCAATCTAAGACATCTTGGTTCTTCTCTCTGCTGCAGGGATAATGTATCAGGAGGAACGGTTCATGGGGCATTCACGCATATGCCACTCTTTCCCAGGCACTGTGTACTTAGAGTCTAGGTACAGTTGCAGAGAGTAACTAGTTCTCGATAAAGCCTCATTTAAGGAAAGGAAAGGAAGGGAGGGAGGGAGAGAGGGAGGATGAAAAGAAAGAAGGAAGGGAATACAGATATTTCCAAGTCTGACTTGATTTCTGCAGTGTACGTCGCCCCCCAGACTCATTGAGTAGGGTTCAGAAGTGGTAATGTGATTCTCCGTACCACAAATGACAGCCTTGCCCAGCACCATAGTGAAATGCAGAGCTGACCAGAAACCACCTCCAATCCAGAGAAAACAAATGATAGCACTGCTTCCTCATGTGTCCTCATGAGGCTGATCCTTTCTGCGGGACTTACCTACATGACCGACTCTGGAAGGGAGGCGTTTGCCATTCCTTTGGGCTCAGTTCCACCAAAGGACAAAGCCACAACACGGCTTGGATGTTATTCCTTTTGCAAATGTGTAGTTGTTGTTGTTAAGTGCCATCAAGTCAACTCCTAACATTCAGATTACCCGCTGTTAAAACAAGCCCACTGATTATCCCAGATCTCCATGTCATGCCTCAATACACATTATGAGTCATTGTATTCCTCATGGTGACCCTGTATATAACAGAACAAAGCCTTGCCCGGTCCTATGCATTCTGCGTGATCAATAATATGCATAGCTCATTGTCATAGCCACTGTGCCAATCCATCTCTTTAAGGGTTTCCTCCTTTTTGCTCTACCAAGTATGATGCAGATGCAATGTCTTCCAGTTTGATGTGCTCCCGTGGTGCTTCCAGCACTATGTCGGACAGTGTTCCATTGTTTTCATTGGCTCATTTTCTCAGAAGTAGATCCCAGATCTTCCTTCCTCATCAGCCTTTGTCTGGAAGCTCTGCTGAAACCTGTCCACCATGGGTGACCCTGTGGGATTTGCAATACCATTAGCATAGCTTCCAGTAGCATAGCAACACACAAGCCACCACAGTATGTATGGTTTGAAAATAGCATCAGTCTGTTTGTCCCTAAGAGCCTTATTTGTCTGTTTGTCCATAACATTGATGGGAAATATCTGTGGATTCAATGAAAAGGGCTGCATTCTTAACATTGACTTAGAGTGAAGGTTGACAGCTTGGAGAGTGAGTGTCTTCTTCTAAAAGTTTGTGGAGGTCTGCAAATACTGCAGAAGGAGGATGAAATAGGCCAACTTTAATAACTTTTTCTACACAAAGCTCATGTGATTCCCCGTATGGAAAAAGGACCTCAAGTTCATTATCTAATGGCTCTGTGATTTTAGGGTGAGCCTGTACCTTTTATTCCTTTAACAAGCATGATGTTTATCAAGTATGCATCTGACACAAAGGCAGCACAAGCATCCTACTATTTAAGACACCCAGACGTGATTCTTGACATTTCAGAGGAAAAGGTCAGCGTTGGCACTTTTATCTCTCTCATTTGGTAATAACCTTGAATTGAGCCCTCTAACTCTTCCGTAGCCAAAGATACCCTCGGGCACTTACAGGTCAAAGATGACTTTGAAAAGTGCAGAGCATTCAAAGTTAAAGTCGAGGTTAAGTGTGCAAAGCAGTGAGACCAGGTTTGAATGATGGGCAGCCAGAGGAATTATGTTCTTTTTGCTATGTCAGATTAGGAAGATGTCTTGGTGTTCAGTCTTTCTTTAGTAATCAAGGTGGTATGTCATTGGGAAGTTAGCTTTGTGTTCACTTCTCTTAATGACCATTCTGGTACTGGTTCACAATGTCACAGATGATGGAACACACTCCAGTTCCCACACTGAAGAGTCCTCTTCCCTCCCTAGTGTTCTCACTCATCTTGAAACTTACCTGAGTACTACACTAAGTCAGAGAAGTATTCAAGATATTCACAGGTATAACTCACAGAGAACATACTGGATCTCTCTATTCTTGTTGGAATTGGACAGGTGACATGGAGTAAGTTCTCACCAAAAATATTCCTACTACCTTGATCAAGCCTTGGTCAAAATCCACTGGTTTCAGAACCACGTTTTATTAAAAGTCAACATTTTTGAGCAACTACTAATGTGTTACACATTTCGTATATATCAATGAAGAAAATGCAGCATAGATTTGATAGCATTAAAATGAATTAGGTTAATCACAAACAACATCTGTGTTCATTTAAGAAAAAGTATACAAGATTTTCTGTTTGTGGGTTTAGTCCATAAAAAGTATTGGGACATATGTGGATTTGCAGACTCCTTGCACTAAGTCAGAGGTCTCCTTGGTTTGCAACCACCGTCTAAAGAAATGGAATTGAAACACTCAAAGTCTGCTCCTGCTGGCCAAGTGTCAGTGGTGGCAGACCCATCCTTGTCATGAGACACATTTAGTGGCATGAATCCCATTGAGCAGTATCTGTTAACATTCCAGTTGGCTCCCAACACTTGAGTTTAGAGAACTATGCATGGTTTCTTCTTTCAGGTCATAGTTACTGTAAGAAAGTACGTTTTCATCCCAACCAAGTCATTTGGGCATGTGACATATCTCCTATTGGTGCTGTCTTCTGCCTGCATCCCCTTACATTGACAGCAACGGTGATGGACAGAGTAAGATACCAGCCAAGTAAGACAACAAGGACAATGACAGAGTAAAACACCCACAGAGCTCTTTGCTACTTTTCCCTTTGCTTCTTTGATTAAATGTGGCCATGGGGACTTCAAAGTCAAACACACAAATAAATGAATCACCTTTTCTTTAAAAACCTGGCAGTGCTCATAGCCAACCACTTTTGCAATCAGTAATCTGGGATGAAGTTTGCAGCCCAGCACACCTAACGGTTACTACAAAAGTCACATGTTCTGTTGTTAATTTGTGGCTCTAATGCCTCTCTGTTGCAAGCCTACATACCTCTCTCTTCCACCACATTCCAGACTCTTGACTCTTGCCTTTTGTAGAACTGTTTGTTCCAGAGTTGAGCATCAAATCTTGTAACTCATCTTAGGATTCCTTCCTTTTTTCTCTTAAGATGGAAGCTTTATGGCTCAATATCCAAAACAGAAGACAGAATCAGTTTTGTTTTTAATTCTGTATTGTGATTTTAGTGGAAGTTTACAGAGCAAATTGGTTTTCCGCTCAACGATTCACACACATTTTGTTTCGTGACATAGGCTGCAATCCCCACAATGTAACAGCTCTCTACCTACTTCCTCCCTTTCTTTGCCCTTTCCTTTCATCCCTCTTTCCTATCCCTTCCTGCCTCCTGGGCTTTTTTCCTGAGCAGATGCTGTTCTTTTGATGTGTGTGTTTGATTGTTCTAAGGAGGGCATATCTTCCTGGTGTTATTGTTCATCTTGTAGCCCTGCCTGTTGTTTGGCTGGAAGTGGCACCATGGGGTTGAGTCCAGTTCCAGGCTCGAAGGCTGAGAAGCTAGAGTCTTGAAACCATATTAAAAGTATGATTGAGTGGATGTCTTATGTCATCAGTGGCAGTAGTTTCAATGTTTTGCTGGAAGAGATGTTGGTGCTGGTCCAGCGATGAACTCTTGAACTCTGTCTTCATGTTAGAGCTCCTCCATGAACATACACTTCCTCTGCTTTGGAATTCCTGATGAGCGGATGCATGGATTTCCACCAAATTCATTGCAATGCCTGGATCCTGGGCAGAATGTTTGATTTAACCAAGCATTCTAACTGCACATGTTTCTGGGCTTAGAGAGGGAGTTGTTATTAATTGCTGTCCAGTCAGTTCTGACTCATGGCAACCCCAAGCACTGCAGAGTAGAATTGCTTCATATGGTTTTCAAGGCTGTGAAGTTTTGGAAGCAGATTACCAGGCCTTTCTTCCAAGGTGCCCCCAAGTGGGTTTGAACCATTAACCTTTCAGCCTATGGAGAATTGAGTTATAATGCACCCAGATTCTGCTATGCCACAATCTATCATAGATTTGTTTCAGAATCAGCTGCATCCTGGGTACACATCTCAAGTGTGCACAAAACCCTTGCTCATAGAACAACCATGTTTCTGCTACCAAAATCCAGATCTTCTGGGCAGGAACATGATCTACTCAGGTATATCTTTATTGTCAGGAAACCAGATCTCTGCAAAAGAAGGTCTCCTGACCACCTTTTTGGTAATAAATTGCAGTCAGGCATGCCTGTGCCTTCCATGTTAGTGCCAAAGTCCTATCTACCATGGTTTTATGGATAAAACCCACTGCTCTTGTGTTAATTTTGCCTCATAGTGATCCTTTAGAACAGAGTAGAACTGCCCTATAGGGCTTCCAAGGCTGTCTTTATGGAAGCTGATTACCTCATCTATCTCCTGTGCAGTGGCTGGTGGGCTTGAACTACTTACCTTTGGATTAACAGACCAATGCTTTGACCACTGTACCAACAGAGCTCCCTGATTCTATGGGCAATGAAGCCATTTATTTGGACAGGATGTTGTGCTTCCGCCCATCTGTGCATTCCAGACATGAAGCAGACCCAACGAAAACTGGACTGATGCCTTTGTTAGCCCCTACACACACTCTCTGAACTAACCTTTACTTTCATGTTTTATGCTGTAGCAGTTGAACATCCTTTACAGTTTTCCAGAGAAATACTATTTGATCTGAGCATGTCTAAAAATGCTCAGTACATATTTGCCCAAGCGCGTGCCTATAAGTTTCCAGATTTTGCTCTTGATACAGCTATCGAGACACTTTGCATGGATCCCGAGGCATCGCTGAGCATTGCTGTTGAGCAAAGAAATGCTGGTTATGTCTGCGAATGAGTCGTGTCTGTTTAAATTGAAAATGTGCCAGCTGTGTTTACATCATTAGTCCCAAACTTCCCAATTAAACTGTTGATACTATAAATATAGTTCACAACCATCTCAGAAATGGGGCTTACATCAGCATTTTTCTTGTAGCTCGTTTCGCTGGCTTTGAGAATCTTCAAACCAGTGACAATAGCCAAAGAGACAAATGTTTGCAACCATTTCAGGGTATATGGTATCATTGCTTCATCAAGGGAGAGACACATACTAGAGCTACTTGTCACTTGGTTCTGTCTCAATCTGACCTTATTTTAGGCACATACTTTATGATGACTTAATAGAGAATGTTCTAGAGATGACATTTGCTTCGTGGCTTTGCAACAAGTCTTTTCTCAAACTTGTCTATCCATAAATACACGAGCTCTGGGTTCTTATGCCTGAAATAACTATGACTGAATATTCTAAACAGGGTACATCTAAGTTACTGCTTGGAGGAGTCATAACGTTGGGGGAACCTTAGTCTGAAATTTAGTTCACCTTTTAAAGGCAAATCCTTCTTCTCTCCAATCTGAAAGTTTTCTTCTCTTTTTGATGATTTTTCTCTGCTCCAGTCGAGGGAACTGAAATGCTCTGTAGAAGTGTTTTCTTGACCAAAAGAATATTTGCATGTCTACCAATTGCAAAGTCAATCCCCTGCATATATCTTGGTACTGTCAGAATGTGGGCTGGAGATGTGGGCTTTCCATCTCCTTTCCAGTTGAGTCTTCTCTTCTTGACATCTTCCTATCTTCTACTTCTCCCTGAAGCCTTTGGTTTCTCAACAGGAAGAATGCAAGTCCGTATGCCCCTGGGCAATTACCTATCTGGAGGAATGAGCCTGTTCCCATTGCATTGCTGTTATTTGCCATAGAGTCGGACCCGACTAAGCGCAACCCTTCCTTGGGTGTCCAAGGAGATATCACTACAGAAGTAGATTGCCCAACCTTCCTTCCAAGGATGACATAAACCTTGGGTTAGTTTCTTGCAATGTCAGAAGTACTTTCATTGCAAGGTTTTGAGCTACTTATATTCAGTTGGGGTGTGTAATTTTTTTTTTTTTTTTGTCTTTCTGAGGAAGGTATACTTCTTTGTATGTTATGAATAATTTTATTTTGAATGTCACTAGAGGACTCATGATACTTACTTCTCAGGACCCCAGAATACTAATCATGGCACTGTGGGCAGAGCCCCTTCTCAGAGTTCTCATGTTGGTTGTCAATCTTTCTGTGCTACCCCTGAGCACTGTTTGCTGCTTGAGCTTCATGTTTCCAACCAGGGTGAGACATACAACACAGACTCTTCTAGAACCATTAGGGACACAGTTTAAACCCAGGGTGCAAAAGTAAGTGGGATGATGGAAAAGCTCAAGGTAAAGGAAAAAGAGGATGACATTTTAAAAAATACATTGTTCTATGTATTGTTTAGTAAAACACAATGCCCTTCACAAAAGGGTCCTTCATTTTTTATTTTAAAAAAATGCACTTCACTAATAGGAACATTTGTTCCCCTTCTGCATTTGGAGCGAATCTTTATCCCATTCTGCATTCTCTGCCATGTCACATACTCTTTATTATTATTATTTAAAATTTTATTGTGATTTGGGTGAAAGTTTACACAGCAAATTCACTTTCCATACAGCAGTTCACATACTTTGTCTCATGACAGTGACTGAAATTCCCTACAATGCACAGGAGTGGGTTCCATTCCAGACCTGAAGGGCAGCTAGGGGCCATAGTCT